TCTATTTCTCAGGAGGAAATCCAAATACTTTGACACACTTGGTGAGGCCCAGTGTGATCTGGGCCTTGACTGCCATTTTATCCTATGCCACACGGCCCTTGACCACCAGGCACAGGCACCTCGGCCTCCTCTCAGTGTCACAAACGTGCTCCACTCCTGACCATCTACGTCCTTCACATATGCTGTTCCCTGCCTGGAATGGTCCCTTTTCCCCTCTTCGCCTGGATAACTACCATGCAGTCCTTAAACACCAGCTTCAATGCTGGGTCTCCGGGAAGGGCTCCGTTGGTGTTCTCTACTGAGTAGGCTCCCTGGCATCAGGTTGTACTCTGCCTAAGTGTGCAGTACCTCACACGATGCCTTTACACCAAAGAAAAGGGCAAATTGAAGATTTGTTATGAGAATTTACTGACAACGTAAGGAAGGTGTCCTGAGGAAGGGGAGCCATTTTAAAAATTTTGTGCAAACTTGCAGCAGTGCCCTGTTTTATTAAACACTTTCCCTACATAATACCAGGGTTGGCTGTATTTAATTGTTATGAATTAATTATTCATAAAAATCTTTCAACTTAGGTTGCTTCTCCCACACGAAATTGTACATCCCCTTTTGAAGGGACTGCCTCTGTCTTGGTTATTGTTGCACCCTCAGGTCTGCCTTTTCTGCTACCACTTGGGGACACAGCAACACCTGCTGAGTGAGGCCAGCTGGAGCCGCTGCCTCCTGGCTCAGTGAGGATGTGCTGGCTGCACCCAGGGTCGCAATCAGATGGAGCTGCTCCCTGCAGCTCTGCACTTGCTGCTGTTATGTTCGTTGTCGGAGCCACAAAAAACCGAGCTCATCACAATTTTCTGCTGGGTGATCTAGTGTAGATGACCAAAATGCCAAAGCCACCCTGTACCCAAGATGCTTCATGGTATTAACCAATTAAAATCTCTACATTTTTATCTTTAAAAGTGCTTTACTTGTAGTGATAATCATAGTCTTTGCACAGAGTAGAATGGCTGGTAGAGATAACGTATTAGCAAGTTTAATCACGTGTGTTTTGTATTAGTGTATAATACTGTACAGCATTTTAACAGTTTATTTCTCCTTTCTATTTTATGAGCCTTTATCCAACGTTATGATAAAAATCTCACACTCCAGAGAGCCTGACTGTACAGAAGCAGCTGTGCTCACTGCCAGAGACTCCGCAGGTTCCCCTGGCAACCAGAGCCACCTGGAGGTTTCTCAGTCCCTGCCCATTTTGACTTCACTTTATTTTGGTCATTAATTTGGTGAAAAAGGAAAAAACAAAAAACCCAAAAAAATCCCCAGGAGTACTCAAATGAAAGAAAACTACTTTTATTGTAATAAAACTTTTATTGTAATTGCCTGTCTCAACTAGTAGAGATTTCTTATCGACGATCAGAATCAGAACATCAAATTGTAGTTTAGAGGTCCTAGGCTGAGTTCTACATCCTGTTTTAGTTATAAAAGTACAGCCCTTTACACTCTCTATATATATATATATATATATATATATATATATATGAGAAAGGGAGATCAAGAGTTTGAATTTTTGTAATTGTATCAACTTGGAAACTTCTTTAAAGTTTTTTTACCTCTTTAAATTTTTACTTTAATTTTTTTAAGTAAAACATTTTCCTTTCTTTTTTTTTTCCTGTCCTGCTAAATAACCTCCTCCTAAACTTGTTTTATCTTGGAGGTAAGAGTGGCTCTGCATTTATCTACTTACATGGAATAATTCTGTACACTAGGCCTATGGCATAAACCAGAAACACCTGTGTTTGAGCCCAGATCTAATGTTACCAACTGTGTGAGCCACCTGTGTGCTAAAAAAAAAAAAAAAAAAATCAATGTGGTAAATGAATGCAAAGGAAGTTAGATAATATAGACACACTTTGAAAAGTGTATAACACAAAGGCAGTTGTATCTTTAGTTCATGAAATCATAGATAGACAAACAGGTAATAGAAAATAATGTAGACAGATAACTCAGGACTTTATTTTCCTTTGAAATACTATTTTTACTGTCTTTTCAGTTCCAATACTACTCAGTTTTTATTAATTTCAAGCACAACATTTTTGCTGGGCTGATTTGGTGGTAGTATGAGATCACCCCGACAGGAAGTGAGCCCCCAGTCCTGTGAAGAAGATTCTGTCTGCCATCTTCCTTGTGGACACATGGAGGTCTTAGCAGGGCTGGTGTTTTGTGAAAGGAGATGTTACATTCTAACAAAAGTTTGCAATCAGGCTTAAAAGAAATACAAGATTTCATAACACATATTTTAAAAACTCCAGATTGAAGGGATACTGCTGGGCAAAGGGAAGCTCTCCTTCTGCTCTTCATATCTCAGTGCTCAAGAGTCGTGCGTTTCTAGGCTGTGGGAAGACCCGGGTGGTCAAACTCCCCTTGGGATCACCTTGTCTTGAAAGAAGAAGGAGCCCTCTTTTGCCCTCAGCTGCTGGATGCAAAGGCTGCATCAGCTGTTAGGGTGCTACGTCTCAGTGTGGGCCTGAGCTGTGGGAGGCAGGGGGACCTATGTTGGTCAGTCTGTGACAATGAATCCACTTGGGAATTTAGGTGCCTAACCTTTGGTCTCCTCCGATCTTGTCTCTTCCCCACTCTCTTTCAGATTCTTCACCTCAGTGTCTGAGCCCTTGCTCTTCTCCAAACTCACCTTTGTGCCTCTGTTCCGAAGGTCCCTCTGCTTGAGGGCCTCTTTCACCCAGCAGAATCTGACTGTGACCCTTGGACTGGCAAAGTTATGCAAAGAAATGGTGGTGACTGAATTTCTCTGAGGAGGTTCAGATTCTTGGCGGTATGATAGAAGAGGCGCTATGGTGCGGGAGAAGTGAAGAGAACGTGATGGCGGCAGGGATTAATGTAAAATAGAGACATTGTCACATCTCTGGACACAGAGGCCTGGGTAAGGAGAGTACTTTGCTTTTCACAGGTGATACCACGAAATTCGAGAAATACCTGTAAGATGCAGTTTGTGTTCATCCTGTCATTCCAGTTAGAGCAGACTGTAAAGAAGAGAATGCACAGAAATACTCTATTTATATAGGAGGGGTCTTCAAAAAGTTCGTGGAAAGATTTGTATTATCTTTTCACTCTATTTTTCCACGATTTTTTTGAAGTACCCTGTATCTTAAATCGTTAATATTTATGATCTTATCTTATTTTAACTGGATCATTTTGCTACTTTATTTGGGTGGGTCATTCAAACGAAGAAAACTGCGACGGCTTTTCTCCTTCCCTGAAAGACGACTTGTCCTGCGAACTGTGTCTACAATAAATTCTAGACACGTTATGAATAATCCAGATGCCTGCCTGCACTCCATCGGCACGCCCTCCTTCGTTACTGAATCTAAAGGGCCCAGCGGCTCAGTCTTGGGCCACTGGAAGGCTGCAGGGCTGAGGGGCGGGGGGCGTCTCCGGGCGGGCGGAGCTCTCACCCGCGGGGCCCCCCAGCCGGTCCGCGTCCCCGCGGTGTCTCGCCCAGCCCAGCCGCCGCCTGCGGTGTTACCCACGCGTTGAGCCGCCGCGTGACGCTCGTGGGTCGTAGCG